ACAACTTTATTCAGGCAACAAACACCTTGTTTCTGGAATTTATATGGAAATACCAGTGATTCAATACTGGAATCTTTTCTTTAATACAAATACAAACTTGATAAAAATATACCTAGCTTTCGATATATGTTTGATTTATCTTAGTTTTTTTAAGTTGATTGTAAAATGCAGAAAAATGTTACGATTTTAATTACCAAAAACCCCTTTCTTTACTTTACTTAAACTTGCTTACGCTCATTAATTCCACTAAACTCCCTTTTAACCCTTGTTAATCCACCAGCTTAGCCTGGCGCTCCAAGAGATTACATCCCATTGATGTGTGTTTTGGCCGCTGGCCAAAATGTGGGCAAAAGCGGCTAAGTCCTGCGTCCTTCGTTTTATTCTCCTCCGAATGGTTGGCCATAAAAAAGTGCGCGTGTGCGTAGTTTTTCTTTTGTTCCACCTCCGGAGTGTTTGTTTTTAATAACTTACGCAATTTTTTATGTGCTTTACGTGCGTGTCCTTAGGGCCTCGTCCTTTGGCCTGGACAGGTGCCTTCCTTATTAATTTGGCCACAAAATGTCCCAAAATGAGCACAGCAATGTTGGTATTTGAAAGCAAGGGCAATTAGAGAAAGCTTTAATAAAACAGAAGGGAAAATTGTGTTTAACTTGATCTTGATTTATAAAGATTATAGATATAAATGGATATTCCCTTTATGTCCTCCTTAAAATAAATATATTATTAATTATATTTTGGCAGTTATTAAATATTAATTTAAAAATTTTAAATTGTCATGATTACTTAGCTTTAGCAATAACTCCTCGAAAATCTTCTCAGGAATTAAGTTTTATTTAAATTTCCCATTTATCGTGAAATACTCTACGTTTACGGCCACAACTTCCACAGTTTTTAGCACCAGTGAACTCTGAAAATCTGAATGTGTTGACATTTTTATGTGTGCCTCAGTTTTCTTGATTTTTGTTTTGTTTTTGGCATAGTTTTGTTTTTTTTTGATGCCTAGCAAAAACCCACAGCGAAATATGCTGTCTTGCACGAGGGCCCCGAACGGCATTCAAATGCACAATTGTTGTCGCCTCGGCGGCGTTTGGACTTCCTTTTCGTCCTGGCTCTGCATTTCTCTGATCCTGCCTCAACAGCTTGTGTGTGCACTTTGTTGTCCTTGTTTTCGGCGATGTTGACTGTGGGCGTGCTTTCATGTACTTGGAGAAAAAGTGTAATTGATTTTGTATCAAATTATGATTGATGAATTATGACATTATCATTTTCTACATAAATTACGTATTTGCTTTAATATTTTTTATATTTCAAGGTAGTACTATAAAAGTACAGAACATATATTGAAAACATGAAAGGCTACAGTGCGTATGAGTGTAATTGATTAAGGCTCAATAAACTAAACACATACAAAATAATTTAAAATTAATTTTTTTCTTTTAATACAAGCCACTTAGCTATCTAAATTGCAAAGAAAATATATAAGCTTAAACTTTGTATAAGTGATAAATGATTTGAAAAGTACTAAAGATTTTCTAAGGTCGGCATTTCCAAATAAATCTCAGATGGAACCGCTATATTTCAATTGAAGATAAAGTTTAATAATAAAGAAATGTGTTTTGTCTAGTGATAAACTAAAAGTATGTTTTCAACCTTAAAATTCCACACGTTTTTTTCAGTTTGAAACCTAATTTTTGGACCACAAAACGGGCCTTGGTATGCGCGATTTTTCTTGGGTCGCTGTTTTTATCTGAGTGCATGCTAAACATCCGGTGGCTGTTTCTGATTCCGCAGTGGGTACTTTCTCCTTTCTGTTGAGCTGCTTGATTCTTCTGCTGTCGCTGCTTTTTGGGCGTGCTGCTGTCGCTCAACTTCCGCTCGAATAGAGTGAAAAATAGCATTTTAGTGGGCACAATCCGCCAGGGGCCAATCTGCTCGTGCTTCCTTCCGCTTCCGCCACCCTTATCCCATTCCCCGATTGCCAATACACAGGAAGCGGAGAAGGGTGCCAAAGAGAAAGAGCTTTCTCCCGAAAGCAGCCATCTTGATCTGAGCTGTCGGCCGTGAAAGAGTCGCTCTAACCAAATTAAATAGTACAATTTACCATGTGTCTGAGTCCATGCATGTGTGTGAGTTTAGTAATTGCAAAAGTTGCCTGCGAAGTTTGTCAGTTATAAAGGGAATTCATATGAACACACATTTACGCATTATACACTGCGGAAAAATGATACAAATATATAGTTTCATGCATGCACTATTTTAATTAAATGTTTTTACCGATTTAACTGTAGGACTAGCCAAGTAAAACAAGTTTTGAATTTGAAATTAAATTATTATTTAAGGGATTTGTCTTTTTAAAATTTTTATACCCTTGCAGAGGGTATTATAATTTTGGTCAAAAGTGTGCAACGCAGTGAAGGAGACATCTCCGACCCTATAAAGTATATATATTCTTGATCAGGATCACCTCCTGAGTTGATATAGCCATGTCCGTCTGTCCGTCTGTCCGTCTGTCTGTTTCTACGCAAACTAGTCTCTCAGTTTTAAAGCTATCGGATTGAAACTTTGCACACACCCTTCTTTCCTTTGCACGCAGTATATAAGTCGGAACGGCCGGGATCGGCCGACTATATCCTATAGCTGCCATATAACTGAACGATCGGAAATGCCATAACTTTGGTGTTTGTAAAGTTAGGAAGTTGGGATTTTCTATGGGTTTTGAATTTGGCTAATCAATCCGACATGCCGAATTTCATAAGGATCGGCCGACTATATCCTATAGCTGCCATATAACTGATTGATCGGAAATGCCATAACTTTGGTGTTTGTAAAGTTAGAATGTTGGGATTTTCTATGGGTTTTATATTTGGCTAATCAATCCGACATGCCGAATTTCATAAGGATCGGCCGACTATATCCTATAGCTGCCATATAACTGATTGATCGGAAATGCCATAACTTTGGTGTTTGTAAAGTTAGGAAGTTGGCATTTTCTATGGGTGTTATATTTGGCCAGATAATCCGACCTACCAAATTTCATAAGGATCGGCCGACTATATCCTATAGCTGCCATATAACTGAACGATTGGAAATGTCATAACTTTGGTGTTGTTAAAGTTAGGAAGTTGGGATTTTTTATGAGTATTAAGAATGCATCATTTGAATAATTTTGGAGAATATAATTTACAGAGTATTCTGCAAGGGTATATCAACTTCGGCTCCGCCCGAAGTTAGCTTTCCTTTCTTGTTTTTTTTATATTTATTACTTGGTAGTGTATATCTGAAAATATTTCACTATTATTTCTTTATTGATAAGTACTTAATTTCTTAAGAAAATAAAACATGTTCAATACGAAACTTTCTACTTGTGTAGCTGGAGCTGCATTTCTGTGTTATTTTTTATGCGTTGACTGTGCAAAGAAAAGTGCAGAAATTGCAAATGACTTAAATAAGTAAACAGAAGCGAAAAGCACACAGACACATACATGAAAGCTCACACACTTTCACATATGCAAATACACGAAGGAGGGATCCTTTACGACCTCTCCTCTTAAAAAAAACACACATTTTTCGCGCTTTGGTACTTAAATAAACTACTTTTTACTACAGCCTGGCTTTTACAGCCGTTGTTGTTGTTTCGGCCTTACGTTTTTACAGATTTTTATACCCTTGCAGAGGGTATTATAATTTCAGTCAAAAGTTTGCAACGCAGTGAAGGAGACATTTCCGACCCTATAAAGTATATATATTCTTGATCAGCATCACCAGGAGAGTCGATCTAGCCATGTCCGTCTGTCCGTCCGTCTGTCCGTCTGTCCGTCTGTCCGTCCGTCTGTCCGTCTGTCCGTCCGTCCGTTTCTACGCAAACTAGTCCCTCAGTTTTAAAGCTATCTGCTTGAAACTTTCCCAAAAGTTGTCTTTCTATTGCAGGTAGTATATAAGTCGGAACGAGCCGGATCGGGCCACTATATCATATAGCTGCCATATAACTGAACGATCGGAAATGCCATAACTTTGGTGTTTTTAAAGTTAGGAAGTTGGGATTTCCTATGAGTTTTATTTTTGGCCAATTAATCCGACCTACCGAATTTCATAAGGATCGGACGACTATATCCTATAGCCGCCATATAATTGATTGATCGGAAATGCCATAACTTTGGTATTTGTAAAGTTATCAAGTTGGGATTTTCTATGGGTTTTATTTTTGGCCAATCAATCCGACCTACCAAATTTCATAAGGATCGGCCGACTATATCCTATAGCTGCCATATAACTGAACGATTGGAAATGCCATAACTTTGGTGTTTTTAAAGTTAGGAAGTTAGGACTTTTTATGAGTATTAAGAATATACGAATATATGAATAATTTTGAAGAATATAATTTACAGAATATTCTGCAAGGGTATATCAACTTCGGCTCCGTCCGAAGTTAGCTTTCCTTTCTTGTTTTATATGTCGGCATAAATTGAAGGCATTGTTGTCATTTCTTTTTTTAGATTGTTATTTATTACTTTTAGATGGCGACTATGTTGCTAAGTATAAAAGTATATCCAGAAACCAATATAATTAATTAGTATGGACTAGAATATTTATTACAAGAATAAAACGATGTTATTTTAATTTCAAGGGTATACAACAGGCGAACTAGAATTCCGGGAACTGGAATTTAAACAACCCGAAAATATAAAAATAAAAATACAATACAATAATACAATGCATAATAGTGAGTCATCTCCGCTGACGACAATCGTCTAGCAAGCGACAGACCTAAATAAACTAATTATTGGAATTAAATACCTTGTTTCCGAGAATATTCGGTCTTAACTGAACACTAATAAATATTAATAAATATATACCAAAATCTTTATTTTATTTAACAAAAAGTACTTCTGAATCAAAACTGGCGTGACCCACTGGTGGGTGACATCATCGAGTACCAGCAATTTCTGAAGATTTCTTTGAAGAAAAATATATATGTTTATGGCAGTTGACGGCCAATTCTCATCGCGATCGGTTGGGTTTTGCGGTTCATAATGTATTATTTCGGAATTTGTATATTCTACGCCGTTTTAGGCTACAATCTGTTTGCTATTGTGAATCTCAAAAAAAGAGTTTATGCACATTCCATTGACGATAGCCGCCAGCAGATGCATATTCCAGAATGCAATCTAAATGCACAACTAGCCATTATAAACGCTGTTCAAATGAAAACCCTCAGAAAGCTGGAACAAATTAAAAAACAAACTCGATTAAATATAGAAAGGTTTCAAAAAGATAACCTTGAAAAATTCGAAAGAATTCAAAAAGAAACACTGAAAAAAACGAAAAGATTGCAAAAAGACGAACGATGTGTTGTGACGGATGCACCAATTCAATGTGGGGGATTCTGTCTTTCAGCACTTCATCCTTTAATTGATGATATTAGTCACGTTCAGCAAGAAATTGACAATCAAAAAGAAAGCCAGGCCAATATCAAAATAAGTCAGAAGGAAACACTTGCGATACTACAAGAAATCCTGCTGAAATTGACCGCAATTCAAAAAGTAAATGAAGCGAGTTTGGGCAATTCAAAGGAAGAGCTAGACACGTTTCCAAGGGATACACCTAAGAGAGAGGAAATTGAAAGTCCATTCATTCCGCCAGGATTTCAACTAATTGGCTCAAGATATTTTAATATTGTAGCAGATACTAAAAATTGGGCTGATGCTGAAGTAAACTGTCGTCAAAGGGGAGGTTATTTGGCGGCCATCCAAAATCAAGAGGAGTATGACGTCATCAAACCGAAACTTATGGAAGGTTATTGGTACTGGCTGGGTATTAACGATCTCCAAGAAAAGGGCCAGTATAAATCTGTGGCCTCTGGAAACCTAGCACCTTTTCTAATGTGGAACGCCCTTCACCACAATTCTTCCGAAGGCAACTGCGCTTCCTTGATAAACGACGAAATGTATAATTCACCTTGCGAAGATAAAAAATATTTCATTTGCCAATTTGACAAAATAGTCTAGTAAAAAAATAAACAAATTATTTCAATATCACTCAAAGAAACATTGTTATATATGTATTTAATTCCATTTAAATTTACAGAAATGTAATACAATTGTCATGATTTGAAATTAAAATAATCTTTTAAATAATAATAAAACAAAAAACGTATATAAAAATCTATGTAAGCTGCTGCTTATCGGCTAACTCGCTCAATTATCAGGCCTCTCAAATTTTTTTTTGTTTTATCGAAACTTGCGGGCAGCGTCAAATACTATGCCCACGGGGCATTGCACACCCCGCCCTGGCCATTCAGTACCCAAATGATTCAAAATAATAATCTCTTAAGGGTAATTAGGGTGCCAAATGCAAACAACAGGCAAACAACAGGCAAACAAGAATTTAAATGAGTCAACTCATAAAATGTTTATAAATAGTTCCATCGAATTAACGAATACATCACCTCTTTGTTATCTTTCTTTCGATTCTCTTTGTCTTTGGAGAGTGGGAGTAATCATATGTAAAGGCGTTTACCCAAAAGCTGGTATATATTGCATGTTTCCACATGCAGTTTTAGCTATCTTTTAATCTGAGAAAATACACTAAACTATTAACTATTACTTTCTTAAAAAATTATTTCAGAGAATAGTCTTGTATCTCAAATTCTTGCTAGGAAGAGTGTCCATATTAAATCTGCATGTTTTATTGGTCCCAAGCAACAGTTTCGCCATCTAAAAGTAATATACAATATAACTTAGTCGGCTTCAATTACTCAACTTACATCTCTCTATGGAGTGCCAAATAATTTCGCTGGTTTCACATGTAAAAAGAGAATGGGATCAGTAACCGCACTTTTCCTTCAAACTTTTTTGGCTACTTTTTACAAAACTCTTCGCTTCGAACAGCGACAAATCAAAGTGCACTTGAATGAATTTTTCATTGTTTTTGCCACTGGGACAACTTTAAAGTTGAAACTGTCCCCCCGGTGGACATCTAATCAGTCAAAGAGTTGCCCCAACTTTGGTCCACTGCGCCCACACAGGCAACGCCTGCAATTGTAACTTTGTGCCCGGAGTTTTCTCCGATTGCGTAACTTTACGGAAACGTTAAAAAAGCCAAAAAACTGGCGGCTTTCCAACTCGACTTCCAAGTGCGTTTGACAGTCGTTCGAGGCTGAAAGGCCCAAGCCGGCAAGCAATTTTCACATTTCTGCAGGACAAAGGCAAAAAGGAGCTTTCCCATTTGCTGAGGGGTGAACGTGATTGGTGCTGTGACCCTGATACGAAGGATATGTATATGACTTTGAAGGGTTAACTTTCAAGCGGGCAAAAATAAATAAATGGATAACTTGAAACTTCGAAAAAAATTTAATTAATTTCATGGTCCAACGGTGAAAGGCTTTTATTTGGTTAAAAAAACATATCAGTTTATTATCAATTAATTTGAACTATCTAATAAACACAACATAATACAAAAGGGTTCGGTTCTGTTTCTTTTAAAAGACCACTTAGACTGTCGAAGTAATTTTTGGTGCCTCTCAATATTTTTCGATTTACCCATTTGGTAAAAATTAAGGAAGTGGAATCCGTCCAACAAGTCGTATACGTAATTTTTGGTTTTACACGCTTAATGTAAGTCCGCTTTCACATAAAATACAGTGGATCAGCAACAAATTTACAAATAATTGTTAAGCAATTATTTTTTTGTACATTATTTATTTATTTCTTTATAGGATCGGTCCAATAGGTCGTATACGTAATTTTTCATGTTACACTCTTGATGTAAGTCAGCTTACACTTCAACTTTAGTGGGTTAGAGTCCAATGTCTGCCATAGACAACAACTTATTGTTTTTATTAACTGACAAAGCATTCACTGGTACTATTGCAATCCTATTAAAACTAGTTTTGGTCGTTGAAAAAGCGATTAAAGCACTCGTAATTAAGTTGACCACACTTGCGTCGGTACGCCCACAAATTGGCAACCGCGAAAGCGTAAGCGACACTTGCGGCTGCCCCATTAAGCCCAGGCATCCGGGAAAAGCGGGGAAAATGCGAGAAAAGCGGGAAAATTAGTGCGGGTAGATGAGCTGCTACTGTTACCCTGCGCACTTAATTGGAATGCACTTGAAGTGCTCCTGCAGCTGAAACTGAGACTGCTGCACAAAAATTTGAAGCACTCGCCAGCGAGTTGGCTGCCGATTTTATTTCCTTTCCCCCCACAGGGCCAATTACCAAAGATCGGAATTACCACAACGCCAGCACTTGGCCGGCGTGGAAGATGAGGTTTGGGGCAGGCCACTTGCCATAATCCTTTTCAATCAACTATGGCGAATCGGAGAGAGTCCTGGAACTCGAATCAAATTCGATTTGATTTCGTATTTATATTCAATTTATTCTAGATATTTGCTGCTCTATGCAGCATTTTCCACATCGATTTGCTTTGCTTTGGCTTGCCTTGCGATTTTTGGCCTTTGCCAAAGGCAGATGAAATCAAGCAAAACTTGTGCACTTTTACTTTTTGTTCAGTGCCAAATTGAATCGAATTCGATTAGGGAACTGCAAAAGGGAGTTTTAGAGAGATTTTCCCCGCGCTTGATTCGGATGCTGTAGCTTTAGCTGTAGCTGTAGCGCTAATGTGATGTAACAAAAGAAATTGCCGCATACTGATCCTATAATTTATGGTTCTGCCCGAAGCGTTGCGGCTTAACCAGCCCACAGTCATTTTAAAAATCGCTTAGCGTTTTGGCACAAATGAAACATCAAAGATTTACGAGCCATGATTAAGGCATTTTGCGGCACCCAAACACCAACAAAAGCGGCAAAAACAAAGGCCTGGATTTGGCAAAAAGCAGGCCTTAACAGCGTCCTCCCGAAAGGAGTGTAAGTGTTTCTGGGTAAAGTGTTGAGCTGAAAGTGAAATTCCCCTTTTTATTTATTGAATGTGCTAAGCAGATGGGGAGTCGGCGACTTTATGCGGGGTTCTCCAGCCGGGACTTTACCAGCCTGTCAGTTACTGGAAGGACCCTGCAATCCAGGACGCTGTGAGTAATTGCTGGGCTTAATTGCCGGCTGGCAAATGCTGAGAAAATAAAATGTCTTTGCTGTTTTTATATTTGTTTCTTTATTTTCCTTGAGATTCCATGATTAATTCAATTAAAAGGTCAGCATAAATGCTTAAACAATTTGCAAGGAACCATTTCAATAAATGATTGACACAAGACATGATAATAATATGTTCTTTTTATTGTTTTTCTATTGCGAATGACTGCTGATAACTTAATTAAATAATAAGAATATTTTCGATAGGAGTATAAATGTTAATAAATTAAGAAGGAAATGGGTATATTGTAAATATATTATCTGTAATTTTTGTATGCCTTTAAACTTACTTCTTATGGTTTTTATTTAGCATGTAACCAATTAATCTTATTTCACAAGAAGTCAAATTAATTTTGTTATTAGGGATTTTGCGACGACTTAGTTGTGTTCTGTGGGGCACAGTAAACCCACTCACTGTTCCCATACGAAAAAGGACTTGTTTTGTAATTAACGTAAGCTTTCGCCCCGGGGCATTACTCATGCTGGCCAGAGATTTTCCCCGCCCAGCTTCCACGCACTCAATCCAGTCGAAATTACTCCCTGCAACATGGTTATATCCTTTCCTGGGTGTGAGAACCCAATTAAGACCCGCTTATTGCAGGGCAACACCAAAGTCGATCCCACAGCTGATAACGGACAATTTGCGTGGGCATCTCTAGGGGATTCCCCTGCCACAATCTCTGGTGTTTTTTCCCCCTTTAACTCCTGCGCGATTTGCATTTTTTGTTTATTTGTGGCGCGAATTCTTCGGAGGCTTATAGTTCTGTAATTGTTTCGGGACGGAACCCCGCCGTTGTTTTTGCAATTTTCGGACTGATTTCGATTGCATCATCCCTGCTCGGCACTGCTTTAAATTGCTTGGTGTTCGTAGTACCGATTTTTTGCCGTATTTTCCGTGTTGTTTTGGTCATGCGAAATTTGCATTTTGCAAAACGACGGGAAATTGCGCGCCTCGAAGCGTGTGAATAATGTGGAAGCTTACCGAGCTCACTGGCTCCGAAATCCGGAGGCTGCCACTCGGGTGCCATTCCAAAATGATTTGTAGGCATTTTAATCTAATTAATGTTGTCGCAAAGGAACCTTCAAAACAACGCCAATATACTCGAAAAAATTGGCTAATAAGTCGTGGAAATTAATAACATATAAACGAAAAAAGTAAAAAAAAAGCAAAATGAATTAAAACAACTTTACAATATATACATTCATTTCTTTTGGTATTTGGGTGACTGTATTCATGATATATATATGGAAAAATTACGAAGCAGTTTCTCAGTAAAGGATTACTAAATTTTGTTATATTCCTGTTTCGAATATATATATAATTACAAGTTTATGTAATAAAGGTTATGTACACCTTAGAACCTTCGTTGTTAAAAAAAAGATCTTGTTTATTTTAACTTTATTCTTTAAAAAGTAGGCATATATGGGTACTGTAAATATGTCACTATATGCATTATTTTCTTATTCCTTGCACTTTGCTTCCGAGAAATAATCCCCCCCAAAAGCGAGGATTGGATTCACAGGTATTCGTTTTTGATTTATATACATATCCTACACGGCCTCCCTTATTGCATATGAGCAAGCCATCACCCGGACGACGACCGCAGTTGGCTAAACGATGTACATGTATTTAAAAGCTTAATTGCAAAATAAAAACTTACTATCTTTGATGACTGGGCTTAAAACCCATTATGGCTATTAATAAAAGAGCGATAGTAATCGATTTCATCTTTAGAAAGGATTCACTTCCTTCAGCTGAGTTGAAATAACTAACATCCAACACATTTGGGGAGTGCGTTTTTATATAACTTTTTGCATAAACGTTGCTAATTAATTCGGTTTAGTCATTATGATAATTTATTCTGGACCTCAATTTGATTCCCACTAAATGATTAAATCAATTCCGGATTGAGGGCATGCATTTCTTAAAATGCAATTTTAAGAGCGTATCCAATACGAAATCTGTTAACTAAAAGATTTAAATAAAATATACATAAAAAGAGGTGAAAAACGTAAATTGTACTTGAAGTAATTTTAACATAAATAAATTTTAATTTTTGGCTTGGGAAGCAAAAAAAAAACTTAAATTCTAATTAAAGTTCTCTTTACAACATAAGACAGTTTATTATAATCCTAGCTAGACTGACATGTATTTGTTTGTTATTAGATTGAATCTAACTTTATAGTCAGGATGACGAACTTTTGATTTGTATTGAATCTGGATACTCGCTATGTGTGTAAGTGCTTATAGTATTTTATAAGGCTGGTATACAGTAGGCATATACATATACATTATTTTCTTATTCCTTGCACTTTGCTTCGCAAGCAGCGAGATCCGAGAAATAATTGCTAGGTCCCCCCTGACAGCGACCCCAATCTTCACAGGTGTTCGTTTTGAGTTTATATACAAATCCTCCACGGCCTCTCTTATTGCATACGAGGCCCTCAGCCAGAGGGAGACTGCAGATGGCTAAATGATGAAATATATTTAGTATTTAAAAGCTTAGTTAACAAAAAAAACTTACGATCTTTTAAGCCCATGGTAAAGCCCATTATGGTTATTAATATTAGAGCGATAGTAATCGATTTCATTGTTAGAATATTACTAACTTCGTTCAGCTGAGTTGAAATAACTAACATCTAACACGTATGAGGAGTAGGTTTTTATATAATTTTTAGCATAACGGTTGCTAATTGATTCGGTTTAGTCATTACGATAATTTGTTGTGGACCTTAATTTAGATTCATCCGACTAAAACTTCCGAAGTTATGGGCAGTTGAACTTCGGTGAGTTAGCTCATTTTGTATGCGATTTTTCGGTGTCCAAAACTTTAAAACGCTCTCCTGAAAAGTTGAAATTTCAAAGTCGGTGAACACGATCCTGTAAAATCTACTAAACGAATCGTTTTGAAATTTTGCACACAATTTCTGTACCCAATTCCGCAGGTACCGACATCGAGTTTTTTTTTACTGATTATTTTTCATTTTATAATACCAAATGTATCGAATTTTTACGATGAAATCACGTTTTTGACTTTAAAACGTTACCAAAAATTTAATAAAAATAAACTCAACGTAGTTACCTTTAGAAACATATTAACTAATAAACAAATGATCCAGTAACGAGTTATGCTGTTCACCGCAAAACGTTTTTTCTTGGAGGCGCCTACGGAGCTTTGCTGCAAACGGCTCATTTATTTATTTTTTTCATGATAATTTGTAAAAACGTAGTTTAAATGTTAGACTTTAATATGCTTATAAAATAATTCATCTGACATTACCGTATCGCGTGTAAAAATTCATGAAAATGGTCCTTTTTTTGGCCGAATTAACCAAACCCCCCTTAAGTCAGCACAGGTGGCTAAATGAAAGAAATGTATTTTAACTTTAAGTAAGGCTCACGATGGCTTAAAACATGTGCAAAACCAAGTAAGGTTTATAATAATAAAAAAGCAATATTAGAGTTTTGAGTTGAGAGAACTTTCGGCTTCTATTGAATCTGGATACACGCTATTTGTGTATGTGTTTATAGTATAGTTTATGGTATAAGGCATAGTAGTAGGTGTACAGTACGTTTATACATATACATATGTATTATTTTCTTATTCCTTGCACTTTTTTTCGCAAGCAGCGAGATCCGAGAAATAATTGGTGTTTCCCCCCCAACAGCGAGCATGATGTTCACAGGTGTTCTTTTTGAGATTATATACAAATCCTCCCATGCGTGCCATAGTGCATTTGAGGTCCCCACCCTCAGGTTTACCGCAGACGGCTAAATGATAAAAAACATTTAGCATTTAAAAGCTAAGTTAACAAAAAACTTACGATCTTTTAACCCCAAGGTAACTCCAATTATGGCTATTAATAAAAGAGCTATGGTAATCGATTTCATTGTTAGAATATTATTCACTTCCTTCAGCTGAGTTGAAATAACTAACATCCAATACATATGGGGATAAGCTTTTTATAAAAGTTTTTGCATAACAGTTGCTAATTAATTCGGTTTAGTCATTATGATAATTTATTCTGGACCTCATTTTGCTTCGCACTAAAATGACAAATCAATTCCGGATTGACGGCATGCATTTCTTAAAGTTCAATTTTAAGAGCGTATCCAATACGAAATCAGTTAACTAAAAGATTTAAATAAAATATACATAAAAAGAGGAAAAAACAAGAGAGAACGCTATAGTCGGGTGCCCCGACTATCATATACCCGTTACTCAGGTAAAGGGAGTGCGAGGGAGATGGAGATAGAAACTTTGATCACGCATAACTTTTTAACGAATGGTCCGATTTGAAAAATTTCTCCTACATTTCGATAGGTATTGATAAACACAATAAAACTGCATTTTTACTTTTCCGAAATATTTTAATTTTTAAAATCGTATATAAGCGATTGTGGGCGTTAAAGGGGGCGTGGCACCATTTTGAAACAAACTTGCGCTGCGTAGGAACTTCTTAAATCTACATGCAAAATGCCAATCTTCTAGCTTTTATAGTTTCCGAGATCTCAGCGTTCATACGGACAGACAGACAGACAGACAGACGGACAGACAGACGGACAGACGGACAGACGGACATGGCTATATCGACTCGGCTAGTGATCCTGATCAAGAATATATATACTTTATAGGGTCGGAAACGCTTCCTTCTAGCTGTTACATACTTTTGCACGAATACAATATACCCTTTTACTCTACGAGTAACGGGTATAAATATTAATTATTTTATTATTCCTTGCACTTTGCTTCGCAAGCAGCGAGATCCAAGAAAAAATTGCCGTTTCCTATCCGACAGTGGGGATTGGATACACATGTATTATTTTTGGGTATATATGCATATCCTCCATGGCCTCCCCTCTTGCATATGAAGAAACCTTCACCCGGACGTAAACCGCAGATGGCTAAATTAGGTAAATGTATTAAAAAGCATAATTACAAACATAAAAAATCTTACGATCTTTTAACCCCAAGGTAACTCCAATTATGTTTATTAATAAAAAAGCTATAGTAATCGATTTCATTTTTAGGAAATGATTCACTTCCTTCAGCTGAGTTGAAATTACTAACATCCAACACATTTGGGGAGTAGGTTTTTATATAATTTTTTGCATAACAGTTGCTAATTAATTCGGTTTAGTCATTACGATAATTTATTCTGGACCTCATTGTGTTTTATTTTGCTTCCCACTTAAAATAAAGATACAGTTCCATTCGCATCTGTATTAAAATTAAATTTTCAACCAAATAAAATAAAATAAATTCCGGACTGAGGGCATGTATTTTTGGTCGCGCTAATTTTTTTATATTCAGTGAAGTTGAGAAAAAAATACGAACCTAATTAAAGTTTTCAACATTACTCAGTTTATTGTAACCCTGGCTAGACTTACATGTACTGGTTTGTTATTCTATGCATTCAGCTACGCAAGAATCGAGGGCATGGAAAAAATTGGATCTTCCTCTACAGTAAGGATGACAAACACATTCGTTTGATTCGACCCGATAGACGTATCCTTTTCCGCCTTTTTTTCAAACGACGTCTTCATTTAAGTCAGCGCAGGTGGCTAAATGAAAGAAATGTATTTTAACGTTAAGTAAGAAAATAAAGAGGTTCACGATGGTTTAAGTCGTGTGCAAAAACAAGTAAGATTTATTATAATAAAAAGCAATTATTAAAGTGAGGCACAGCGACCTATTAGTATAAGGTTTTTCAAGTCTTGGTCTCGAGCTTTCTGGATATCGGGTGAACTTTAGAAATGTTCTGAGAGACTTTTCGGCTTCTATTGAATCTGGATACACGCTATTTGTGTATGTGTTTATAGTATGGTATACATAGGCCCTTGTGGTACTGTGGATATGTCAATATATTTATTATTTTCTTATTCCTTGCACTTTGCTTCGCAAGCAGCGATATCCGTGAAATAATTGCTGATTTCCCCAGAACAGATAGGATGGGATTCACATGTATTCGTTTTGAGCTTATATACAAATCCTCCACGGCCTCCCTTATTGCATATGAGGAAGCCATCAGCCGGACGACGACCGCAGATGGCTAAGAGATACATTTAAATACATTTAAAAGTTTTAATACAAAAAAAACTTACGATGTTTTAAGCCCATGGTAAAAACAATAATGGTTATTAATAAAAAAGCTATAGTAATCGAATTCATTTTTAGGAAATGATTCACTTCCTTCAGCTGAGTTGAAATTACTAACATCCAACACATTTAGGGAGTAGGTTTTTATATAATTTTTTGTATAACGGTTGCTAATTGATTCGGTTGAGTCATTTATTCTGGACCTCATTTTGCTTCCAACTAAATGACAAAATCAATTCCGGATTGGGGGCATGCATTTTTTAACGATTAACCATGAATACAAAATTTAGAAAAAATACAATCCTAATTAATGTTTTCTTTACAATATTATTTAGTTTTTTTGTAACAAGTACAAGTCGCTGATTCGGGATGAGCATTGTGGGTGCAGCTCATTTCGACGGTCATGGCAGTCGGCTAAATAATGTAAATGTATTAAAAAGCTTGATGACAAAAAAAAAACTTACGAGTGTCTGAAGCCAAGGAAAAACCAATAATGGTTATTAATAAAAGAGCTATGGTAATCGATTTCATTTTTGGAAAATGATTCACTTCCTTCAGCTGAGTTGAAATAACTAACATCCAACCTACTTTATATAACTTTTTGCATAACAGTTGCTAATTAATTCGGTTTAGACATTACGATAATTTATTCTGGACCTCATTTTGCTTCCCACTAAATGACTAAATCAATTCCGGGTTGAAGGCATGCATTTTTAAAAATGCAATTTTATGGTAAATATAAAGAGGTGGAAACGTAAATTACACTTGTAGTAATTTTAACATAAATAAATTTTAAGGTTTGGTTCGGGGAGCATTATATTGAATTCATTTAGCTAGTGATGCCAAAATTCAGTGAAATTCAGAAAAACTGTTAACCTAATTAAAGTGCCCCTTACAACATCAGTTCATTATAATCCTGGCTACATGTTAGCTACATGTTTGTTATTCTATGCATTTAGCTACGCAAGAATCGAATTCCCGGAAAAAATGGATTGCATTAGGGTTGCTTATTAAATCGGTTCTAGTCCTCACGATAATTAGCTTTGCAAAATAAAGACAGATTTGCCATGCGTGAACTTCCAGAGTTTCCCATAAAAAGTTGACTTCTTTTGAACATTGGTTAAATAATTTATAAAACAACAAACATTTATAAGTCAACAAAATGTCCCTGTTTAGCTAAATACCAGACTGGAATCCTAGAAATCCGCATTTGCTCCCATTGCTAATTGTCTACCAAGTTTTATTCGCAGCTCCTTTGTCCTTCCTTCGTCCTGCTTCAATTTCTGCCACTCTTCAACTTTGTTCTTATTCAGCCATTACGCGCACTTGTCGTCGGGGCTGTCATTATGCTTTCATGGCTTTAGTTTGGCCCTGGGCATAAGTTTTCTAAAAAAAAGAAATATGAATACAGAAAGGGCTAAACGGCTGTTCGAAGCGGTGCAAAAGGACCAAAAGGAGCGACGTTGTTGATGTCTTAACGACTTCCTGGCAAATAGGAAAAGTTTTGGCAAACTGTTACAATCTCTTTTCGTTGATTGCTAAATTTAAAAATAAAATCATGAAATTATTCAAAGAACATTTTTAAAAATACAAAGACTCACTGTCTTTTAGTGCCAAGTTATCTCCATAAATTTAAAAAACTAACCAAACAATGGAAAAATTATAATTTTGTGTTTTTTCTGAAGTAAGAGATACAATTATTATTTGGACTTCAAGATCAACGCACTGCAAAATTATTTGTTATTATTGATATAACATCTGCGACTTATTGACATTTTCTACACTTGTGTTGATAATGTATAGAACTTATATTAGAATTTAAAGACATATTTTATTTGTGTCAATGTATGTTGTAACCATGTTTTGTAGACCTGTTTAACCATTTCTCAGTGAATATTTGTATACCACCAATAGTATTACTCTTTGCATGTATCTTCGCATTCCTTAATGCTCTTGAAAACAGTTCCTACGGTATCACAGCCTGCAAAGTGCCTCGATGCACATTGGTTTCCACGAATTCTGTAGCTAATTCGCTCAATTAAAGCATTACACGCTCCGACGCCATATACCTCATCATCGCATATTGCTAAAACATAGAAATTTGTTAATTTAAATTATATGCTAATACATAGAAATTTGTTAATTTCAATTATACATTACAAAAAGTATGGCTTTCTTTAAAGTACTTACGATCTTTTAGAGCCAAAACATAACCAAGAGCGGAACAAATTAAGCAGGTAAATAAAAATATATGCATTTTGATTTTTTTCTGAAACAAGACACAAATCTATATCTTCTATATCTACCCAAATCGAACGACTAAAAAACTATAACACTTAACAATTTGTCGTTGATATGCAACTAATATAATTAAGACCGGTAAAAATAACATTAGCAATAGAAAATTGTTTTCACATTCCTGATGCATTTTTTATTGTCTCTTATATATAATCTGTAATATTACTTTTTGCATTTAGCTTCGGTGTCTTTTATGTTGCTGAAGAACGTTCCTGCTGATGAACATCCACTTATTTGCACAGTTATGTGTATATAAACGATTTTTGTAATTAGCACGAAATTTAGCACCACAGGTCGATAAAAGATTAAAAAAGCAGAGTTTAGTACGAAGTCCCAAGATGGGAATTATTTTTCTATTTTATTACGATTTTTTAGAGCCAAAACACAACCAAATAGGAATAAACTAGGCAGGCAATAGTAAACAGTTGCATTTTGAGTTTTTTGGAAGAAGGCGTTAAGCCTGTCACTTTTGACTGGTTTGCAATGACTGAATTTCTTGAGCACAGCACATTTCATTAATAAAATTTCTGTGAATGAAAAATGAAGACTGCTTAATATAGCCGCTATTTATCGTGGACCAAAAACAAAACACTTGTTTAAATTCATTCTCTAACAAAATATATATTTTCTTTTTCTCTGTTATTTTTTGTAACATTGTGTTTTGCAATTAGCTTTGCATTGATAATTTCTATGTACATTTTTTTGTAAATTAAATATGTGTCAAAAGAAATAAGCATTCAAATTTCTTAAAGAGTATTATTTTCTTGTGCTTTACAATGTAAAACCAAAGAAGGTCTTTGTTAAATATGTTTTAAGTTTTAGTTTTAAATGACTAGAGTTAGTTATTAGTAATAATTTGTATACATTTATTTGATATTTTTCATTTTTTTTTCATGTTTACTTTGTGGAATTGGAAGCCAACACAATTTCGTGTGGATTTCCCTTACCTTTTCAATTGAAATCGAACATTTGATACGCAATTTCAATAAACAGATGATAACAACACTCCACCCTCGGCCGCCCTTAACCCCGTCAGCCCACATGCAACCCCACTTAACCCTCGACAACCAGGTGATTGTCTTTTTCGAGTCCCCGGGTATTATTGCGAAAAGCTTTGTGCGAATTTTCTCATATTTCCTCGGTAAGCTTTCCTCAAGGACAACTCAAGACGAGGACAAACGGCACAAGGCAAATATAAATATGCTAAAGGGGAACAAATTTGAGAAGAAAATATATTCTTATTTGTTTTTTTGTGTCTATTTTTTTGTTGCCTCTTTGCCCCAGTAATTGTTATTTGATACACACAAAGACCAAAAAGTTGTATTATTTCGCTTTTGGCATATTTGGAAAGGATACAAAATTCCAAAAAGAATACTTAAAAAGGATAACGATAAATGGGAAATGTCCATGAATTTGTTCTATTAAAGCCAAGTCTGGGCAATGAGCGAAATTCAATTAAAAACTTCAAAAGCCGCCTAACAATTTCAAACTGCAATTAGATGAGAGAAAACACATACAGAAAGTCCTGATTGCAACATTGAGAACCAGATACAAATGCAATATATACGGATACATGGACGCAGCTGAGATACAAAAACTTCGCTTTGGCAAAGTTTTAGCTATTATGTAACAAAGCGCAGCTGAAGGCTGCAAAACTGCTATATATGTATACGCCCTTCTCGCAATATTCTATACACTAAACTAAAGTTTTGAAATGGGAATTTTTGATATTTTTACAGTGATACTTTTTCCTAAAAGCAGTTTGTGTAATATGTGTTATGATTAAGTGGTTATTACAAAGTTCTAAGATTTCATTCTTAATATAATAAAATTGTAAGAAGATATATAAACCAAATATTGCGTTCTTAATAAAAGCAAACTTAGACTCAATATGTACTCTAACTTGAATCCATGGGATTTCTAAACTTAATTAGAAACTTTGCATAAACAAACGACACACATAAAGTAGCTCTAAATGAAAAGATGTAGAAGTAGTTGATTATGATGATGGAGATGCACAAACTTATCAAACTTTCTGAGGTAGAAAATAACTTATGAGTTAATTATGTTGCTTACACTGTTCCTAAAAACATCATACATCATATATCTCTAAAATGTTATTTTTTTCAATTTTTGAAACGATGGCTTTGCAGAGTCTTTAAGACTTTTTGCCCTTCAAAATTGTATTATAGATCCGCCACATAAAGGGATTTATATTCGTTAAAAAGTTTAAATATAGTTCGTTTTTTTCTTTTTTTTTAATTTTATAAATTTACTATCATAGTCCCATAAACTTTAATCCGTTTATAGAAATATTAGCATTATTTATTTTCGATTGGCCTGACAAGCTGTTGCCGTTTGGCCTCACACTTAATCATAGATTAAAATTGGATTTCCCTATACGTTTTTTATGGCGATTTGATAGCTTCGAAGTGAAACACAATAATATCGTCTGCAAAGCAATAATTGCCAGCCTCGAATTTCCACTCGTCAATGTTTGAAAGTCCCAAAACGGATATTTGTTGGGATAGCGTGTGTTATTTATCCATTTGTTCGATTTGTTTGCCTTTCAACTCTTCATTTGTCATTTGTTATATATGCCAGAACGGATTTATGTTGCCGCTGTCGAGGGTTTCATTATTATTTGTTTCCCGGGCCCGATTCATTCGCAACTTTGCGGCATTTGGCATTTGCATTTTTATGGCAACACTTTCAGGGGCCGCAATTATTTCCCCATCTCGAGTCCTGCGAACCGAAAATTTTATTGCTCCTGCATCCGCAGACTCGTGTGTGGACCTTTATCTCCCTCCCCCCTTTTTTCCGGGGGACTTGGGGGCCGGGGAAATCGAGGCATCAACAGTCATTTGGCAAATATATTGCAGTCACAACAACGCATATAACACATCAATATCCGGCACGGCCACGCCCACCCACACATTCCGCCCACTCCAACGCTTTACACATAAACAGAAGCAATAAGCGAACGAAGGACGAAAGCAAATTGAAAACGACAAAACAGAACTGAAATGTTGCGAAAATACGAGAATGTCGGGAGAAGATGTGAAAAAGTAGACGTTCTTGATGCTCTTTAAAAATAAGGGTAAACATTGAGATTCCATATATTATATATTGGATAAATATTATGGTCAAAATATTATATATTTTTTAATTACTGCATAAAGGTATCTTTCCAGCCTTAGAATTATGTGCAGCCAAAAAGCATGCAATGTTTTTTTTCACAGCATTCTAAATTCTGTACAAAAGTATTCTTTCCTACATATAAAAACAATTTGTATATTTACATTTTTTTATTAGCAATCTCACATACATAATTGTAATATTTTTAAACGGGGAATATTATTACTGACTTCAAAAGTATTTAGAAAACATTTTAAAATGGTAAATAACATAATCGGGTTGGTCGGTTTTCAAAATGCTGATATACCCGTAAATTCTGAAGTTCAAAACGAGAACAACAAAAATTTCTTGTACCGGATATCCGCTTTTTCAGCATGTGACGGAAGTTGTTGTCCTGCTCTCACCCATTCAAGAAATGGAGGTGGTGCTGTGATAACTTCCCTTTCATTTTTAAGCTCGCTTTTGCTCTGTTTTATTTTTTTCGCTGACGACGTGTTGTGCGGCCTGCAAGATCTTAATTTCGATATTGATGTCAAATTGTCGCTTGGTTTAATTTAAAAAATCTATAGAATGCAGCAAAAGTGAAGCAGGGAACCTGAAACAAGGCAACTGAATTGGGCCCGGTTTTTGTGTCGCTGTTGTGGGTTTTTGCTCATGGCTTACTTTTTATTTTTGCGCCTCTTGCATTGTGTTTTTGCTCCATAATTCCCGAGTGGCTCGATTTGAGGACCAACACGTCGTCGACTGGTCCACATGGTCCGGAGTTTCATTGTGGCCTCGGGCTTCCAAAAGTTAGCATTTGTATTGTATGCGGAAAACACTTTACAGCCTAAGGATGCTGAATATAAAATATTCAAATTGCTTTAGATTCACATTTAAGGGAATTTAATTTCGAAAGAATGTTAAGAAGTTTATATGTTTTAGAAATAAATTATGTTTGGTTAATCGTAATAATGGCAATAAAAAAAGTCTTACTTTTTTGTTTTATTAACATTTAATTATCCGAATTGGGTTATAACTTTATGTTCCTTAAGGGGAATTACACTCTATTTATTTTATAAAAATGTTTCTTTTGACTTAAATAATAAATTATTTGCTCTTGATAAATGTTTGGCCTTTAAATTCTTTATTCCATTTTTTAGTACATACTTTTTTTGACAAGAAAACATATTTTATTTAAAAGAACATGTGTTGTCCATAATTTGATTTATGCCTGATGGTTAACCACAAATTCTACCACAAAAATTCTCTGTGCAGATGCAAACGTGGAAGCAAGTGAATGACCCACATACTCTTACATTTTATAAATTAATCCACATGAAAATTGTCCATTTCATCAATGCCATTTGAGTTCGTCCACAGCAATGCAGCATTCGATGGTCGAAGAGATTTTTTCACTTCTGATTTCAGCTACCAAAAGTTCAATATTCATTATTGATTATAATTTAAAATTTATTTTGCTTGCATGCCATGACGACAATGATGAGCTGCCAATCTCCACTGCTGCTATTGTTTTTGCCTGCTGTTCTTTTGGGAACTCTGCTCTCCATTCTGTCTGACATTTTCAACGCCAATTCGCTTTGAAGGGTAATGAAATATGCAATAGTTCGACTGGCGATGATATCAACAATTTATGAATTGAATGGAAAATCATCAAATGGATAAGCCCATCAGAAAATGGCTGTAATGGAGCATCCTTTGTCTGTTGTTGTTAAAACATAAGCAAATAATTTTAATTGGAGTGAGCAATGTTGTCAGAAAACGGATTTGTAGAATAGAAATGATTGTTCATGGTATACCGCTTAAAACCATTTGAAATTAGAAAAGATAATTGATTTTATAGAGTATATACTATGATGGTTATCAAAGATATTGGTTATTATTGTTCCCACTTTTTCCTGGAATTCTTTTCCGTTTCCGCTCGACAAGCCATAAACTTATCTATAAGCTTGTGAAATGTAATTAAGCGAGCGCAAATTGAAATACGCAACGTGCAGTCAACGAGGTATTATCCAAAATAGTCCCACAAAAATATTCACACAAACTGCAAACTCGGTGCAAACTTTGTAAGTAGCCCAGCGAAAAGTACTTGGGCTGCAGGATTCTTGGGGCGTTCGAAGCAGCAGGATGCTGAAATAACTTCCTTTTCGGCTTGCTGGTGCGCCTTAGTTGGTTTAACTGGTAATTGCAGTTTGGAAGGGGGCGCCAAAGCGAGAATTACCCCAAAAATGGGTAGGGAAATGGGTTTGCGGAGGAATTATACCCACTGACCTCGGCCACACAACTCAATTTTATTTTGTTACTTTCGCGAGCCAATTAAATAGCTTGCGCTAAGTGCAAAAATGTATTTGTAGCTATAGTTTACAGCAATATTAGTACTTATACCTTAAATTTAAAATTACCTAAAGGGAACGACGAGAATTCGACCCTACTTTCGAATATAATTTTTTGACATAGAATTGCCATATTTCATATTTACAGTCCCTTCCAAACAATTGATTCAATTCCATATTCCTGGCTCGTAAAACGCTTTGGCAAAACAACACGATGTTGGGCGAATACTTGGGTTGTCTCTCAGAAAAGTTTTGAGCTGTAAATAAAACATGACCATTTGGCACAGTAACAGTATGTGGAATGGAAATCGTGCCAAGCGGGGTCAAATCTGACTCTCTGTATTTTCCCTCAATTTGCCCTGCAGTCGCTTTATCTCAAAGCAGCGTACGTGAACCAGAAAACGGAAAAAACAATTTCCTCGCTCGGAACTAGCTTTAGTTGTGACCCAATAATGGCACAACAAAATGGAATCCCTTTACCAATTCATGTTACAAAAGTTGTTCCTATTTTTTTTGTTTTCCTTTCCCTACTTGGCTCTCAACCACTGACTATTTTTCAACTGAGAGTTGCCGTTGAGAGCATGTGGCATGTGTCATTAAAATCATATGCTGCGCTGGTCAAAAACTGGCGAATATCTGGGAATCAGATAATGTTGACTTGCAGCCAACCACGAAAGAAAAGGAAACACTCACGCACACTCTTGGGCGGAAAGGGAAGAAATTTGAGGTTGCTAGGCTATTAAATACCTTGGAAACTTTTAAAATGTTTATATATGTTCTCATTAAAAATTAAAACCTCGAAATCAATATAATAATGGAGTTCGAGAGAGGTATATTCGATTTGCCATGTTCTTTAATTTAAACATGTAGATCTCAGCAACTATACAAAATAGAGCTAAATTGAAAAATATTCAAACAAATTTATTTTTAAATTTACAATAATTTAAAAGTCTCTTTAATTATGTTGGGTAAAGCAAACTATTTCAAACTTACTGAGAGCTGAGTACTTTAAAGTTGCTCAATCTAAATAGTTTAATTACTAATAAACGCAGAATTGTTTTTGTTTATCAAGTTAAATTTTCTAAAATTTTATGTGATGATTTTTACTAATCGATATTTAATCCGCCTGCGAATTCCAATTGACCCGAAGTAAATGTGGAACCAACTGAAGTAGCGTTTATTGTAATAGATGGGCTTTGTTTAAAACTTTGTAATATCTTTTCGGAGGGGAAGTGAATTCCGCTCAAATGTGTTCACTTTCATACCGCCATGGGGCAAGTTGAGGCCGACATTATGTTGTGCCCCATTTTGTGGCCAGACTGAGCTCGATTTT